TTATTTTGCTGGTAAACACTTGTCACTAGAAAGAGAATAGCTGGTCTACCTTAAAGAGCACCTTCAGTTGGCCTGGCCCTGTTCCGCTCCTTTTATTGCAATTTGCAGGTGGCTGGCAAGACCAGTGGGCTTCAGTCTAAATGAGTTGTAGCATTTATTTACAGACAGAAAAACTGTACACACACTATAGCTCCCTCTCTCTATCTGCATTGATGCTATATATATATATATACATATACATTTATTCATGAATCTCACCCCTTAAAGTGATTTATTGAACTTATAGCACTATAGATACACAGACATTATGAGTTATTACCTATCCTGCTCACTTGTGCAGTCACGCCTGCAATCTGACCTTAACAGCATCTGACCTCTGACCCTGTGTCAGCAGTTAACCCCTTACCTCTCTAAAAGATGACACCACACGACCGTGTGGCTCAGGCCTTGTAAGGACAATGGCATGTCATATAAGTTACCTGAGTGAGAGTAGTAAGCATGTTTAACACTGGATTCATTAATATCGCTGATGCTACTACCAAAAATACTACTTACAATATTCACAATAATATAACAGTATAGTAACACTAACCAGAACGTTTTTAAAGCAGTCAACATTGCCCTGATAAGAGGAGTAAGATAACTAGTGATATAGTATGCTAGTATGACTAGTTTGCTTTCTAATGAATATTTTCTGTGAAACATGATGACTGCCGTTCCTCTGACAGATGACCAGACACTCCTTCCACATGGACTGTGAAACCAGCAGATGTGATCCTCTTGTTACTGCAGCTCTGCTGGACCGCTCCCTGTAGTTCAGAGGTACCTTACTATTCCTCTTCTGATTTCAGATCATTAATAATTAGTCCAACATCTCTGCTATGTCAAAACTCAAAAAGTCTAGTTCTCAAATTCACCTCCATATATAGGAATTACATTTGTTAGGCCGATTACACATGATGTACATCAAGTGCCAACATTTAGTGCAGGACGAAGTTTGCTCTTAATGTAGTCAAATGGAATGGTTGTGGGTCAAATCCTACTTTCAAACAGGAGAGAGAGTCCGTGTTTCATCACAGTCTGGCAAACCTTGACAAAACCATAGCTGCCATCAACATTAAAAAAGGTAGAATATGAAATATGTTGGCAGTGGAGGTAAAAATAATAATATGAATGTAAATGTACAGTACTATACGAAGGTGAAGATAGGGACAAAGAGATGACATATCATACATTTGTTTTTACATTTGGAAATGATGCTCTCATCAATAACCTGTCTGTCTGAATGTGAAGTTTGACAGCAGGGATCATGTGTCTGGATCACAGAGGCTGTGATGCAGCAGAAACAGTGAATGACTAAGCAGGTTACACTTCATTTGTGTTTGTACGTGTTTATAAATGTATATGCTTTGATGATCTAATAACTGAAGAAAAGCTGATTGGGAGGTAAACAGACAGTGAGGTATTAGAGCGGTGTGTGTTTGCTAAACATTCATTTCAAGAGAGAAACAGCATGACTCATGAATATAAAACATCCTGTCAGCTGTTTGAGCTGGTGCAGGAACATGGCATACAGTAAAGGTTCATCACCTCAGGACAACAGCAGCTTCACACACACACACACACACACACACACACACACACACACACACACACACACAACACACACACACACACACACACACACACACACACACACACACACACACACCACACACACACACACACACACACACACACACACACACACACACACACACACACACACACACACACACACGCACAGGCAGTATCCACAGGACATGATCATGTTGAAGTGCACAAAGACACTAGTGGGACAGCTTGTCACCAGTTACTGATTGGTGTTTCAATTGCTACCTGAGGAATAATACCAGATTGATTTTATATAAATGCATGAATGTTCACAGTTCATTATGCATTGACTGAGAAATTGTGCTTTTCAAATCTGCCTGCCATTTTATAGCGATATACATTTTTGGATGTGAATGTTAGAAAGACAAAATGTTTACTGGTACAGCTAGTGTACTGGCAGACAGATGGTTTACTGGCAGGTCAGGAATAGTGAGGCGTCGTTGTGACTGCTGACCAGCAGCCAGCGATGACATCACAGGATACATGAGACAGCCTGGGGAAGTGGGCTGTGTTTCTGCATGTGCTTATTTACTAAATGTCTAACGTACCTACGTGCTTTAACTGTGTATACATACATGTGGATGTGCATAACAACATGAACATGTTTTCCTTCTGGTCATTCATTTTGATTTGATAAGAAAAATATGAAATTCCTAAATATAAAACTACAAACATTATTTCCAGTAGTTTGTGTGTGGAAGCATGTGGCCTGTGTGTGTGTGTGTGTGTCTGTCTGTCAGTGTGTATGTGTATGTATGTGTGTGTGTGTGTGTGTGTGTGTGTGTGTGTGTGTGTGTGTGTGTGTGTGTGTGTGTGTGTGTGTGTGTGTGTGTGTGTGTGTGTGTGTGTGTGTGTGTGCTTTGTTATCACATCATAATAGCAGCATACACACCTCCCTTCCTTCTAGAGGGAATATGTGTGGTGTGTTTATGAGGTGTGTTTTATACTTTTACAAGCAGCTGGCTGCTGGGTTGATGTCAGTAGTGGAAAGTATTTTACTTAAGAACTTAGCTTAGTTCTAAGCAGTGTTAGGCAGTAACTAGTACTCTAACGCATTACTTCTTAAATTCAATAACTCAGTTGCCGTTACTACATGGTGCGTTACTGCGTTAGTTTTTTTATATAGTCAACAGCCAGGCGAACAGAGATGAGAACTGTACTTAAGTACTTGAGTAAATGTACTTAGATACTTCCTGTGTCACATGCGGAGACGGGCTGTGGGCGTGTTTGTGTTGTTTACTAACAAGACTATCATGGCGGCGGCGGAGCTCAAGTCTAGTTTCTCCACCTGGAGATATTCTCACTATTTCACTTTTGTCGAGCACAAAGAAAATAACGTTTCTGTTAATGTAAGTTGTGTCTTGGCGGGTCATAGATCCTATCTACTGCCCAAACCAGTAATTCAAATCTCTTAAAACATCTGCAAAAACAACATGCTGGGACGAAGCTAGTAGCTAAGACCACAGAGACTCAGCCGACGCCACTCCACCTCCACCTAAGCAACAGCGGCTGGATTTTAACCAAAGGACTGTTATCCAGGGAAAAGTCGATAAAGCCATTGCACGGTATGTTGTAGAACACATGCAGGCTATTGCTACAGTGGAGTCACCCGCTTTCAGGGAGCTAGTTAGCATGATAGCATGTCCGGGCGGCACACGGCATATGGGACGGAAAACTTTTTCCAACTACCTGGAGAAAGAATATACAAAAATGGAAAGCCAGCTAATATCGATGCAATCCAGATTGCATATAATGCATGTCAAGTTGATCAACAGATTGTATTATTCTCCAATGCAATAACAGTACTGAAATGAAGGCTATCCTTATAGCCTTCATTTCAGTACTGTTATTGCATTGGAGAATAATAAATGGGAGCCCTTTGTGTAAGTAACAAAAACGTCCCGTCACGTTTCACAGTAACGCATTACTTTTTTGTGTAAGTAACTGAGTTACTTTTGAAATGAAGTAACTAGTAATGGTAACTAGTTACTGGTTTTCAGTAACTAGCACAACACTGGTTTTAAGGCACTCCACTTAGAGTCCAGCAAGATATACGCTGTTGCCCATAAAGTTTGAATAATTCTGTTTTCAGACACATTCCTCTTTTTATTCCTATTAACACAATCCTTTCATGAGAAGATGTAACAAATATTTTATTCCAACTCTATGGGCTATAGCTTCGGTGATTCAATGCAACACAATTCTAAAATAAATTAGCATGAACAACACATAAACATTCAAATCTAAAATGTTTTTTCAGGAAAAAATAACAAGAGTTTATATTCCACGAAACAAAAACTACAGATCCAAATCAAGAACTTATATGATTGTAACCTCTTTATTTCTGGTACCCACAAACGTAGGTTAGAGCGTATTAGATATGTTTAAAATACTGTATTAAATTACCGGTATGACCTACTTCAAAAATTGATAAAATTGGAAGGAACCATTGAGGAAGGTTATATTCTAGAGCTGGATTCTTTGCAATAAGTGTTATCACATTATGAGTACTATTCTCTTACGTTTAGATCAGACCATTTGTCATGTTGACCCTCTACTTTCTAATGAGCCACTCTGCATAACAAGTACTTTTTACTTTTGAAACTGCAACATTTAGCTATTTGTAATTGAGTATTTGTCATGCTAGGTTTACTTTCATATGTTTCACTACTAGAAGGGGTTAATTATTGAGACCGGTTGAATCTATTAATATTGCACTTGGATTGATGCCAATATATTTATAAAATCACATAACTTTCATTCTCCGTTACGCAAGCACTAGAGAAGGGCGATTTAAATACCATATACCTCACTGACAACAAGTCATCAAAGCTAATATGGTTGATTATGTGGATTCTTTAGGTCCTCATTATGGAGACAAAACTAAAGCTTTAAAAGGTCAGTATACTTTGCAATAAAAGACACTAAATCACATTATAACAGTGATGTCCTCTGAGCTCCTGGCCCTCGCCCTTCTGTCAGCGGCCCGGCTCCCAGTGGTGGAGTGCAGGCAGGAAGACAACAACTGTGTGCCAGGGATGTTGTTGTCATTCACATTCACACCATATTCAACAGAAAGTACCCTGTGCTTCTGACAGGAGTCACATAATAGGAGACCTGGAGGTAAGGTAGACAGCTGGAACCAGAAGACCCTTATCTGACATAAAACTTTTGAATGATTTCCATATTTCTGAGTAACAGGATTATTATGGTTTGGTAAAAATGTTTTGGTCAGAGAGTAATTCATTGGTAAGTCCTTGTTTTTACAACTAATCCTTGGCTACACAGTCTTATCTCACAGGCAGGTGAACATAATACTCATGAAAGGTTATTAAAGGTCATTTTACCTTTCTCCTCCGGCATCGTCACTCAGCTGTTTTCACAAATGTGAGATCTTGTTATGTCCTTTAGAAATAGTAATTATAGACAAAATCCCAAAATGGTTCAGAGTCCTCTGATAGTGTTGCAACACATCCTCTCTGCAGCGCGGTGTAAGAATAGATGGAGCACAGAGTGAGTGTCTGCTCCAACACTATCTCTGGAATGAGCTATAGGTCATATAACTCCCAATGTCTCTCTCTCCCTCTCGCTCACTCTCTCTCTCTTATTGCAGATATATGTTATAAATAGAAGCATGGAGAGTGACACCTCTCACTGGTGGACTGTCCCAGTCTGCCCAGTCCCTACAAAGCTCAACTTAATATCAGTACACACTCCAAGGCATTTAACAAAATAATGGAGCAAATCAGATTGGAAAATGTTTTGGCATCTTCAGGGGCCTTTAGGATTCTTGTTCTAGAAGAAAATGAAGGTAATTTGAGAACTTAAAGCTGCTGTCATGTCTCGAAAGATTATTTTTAAATTATATTCTTTAAATTAGCTTTGTCATGTCCCTTTGTCTTGTGTCTTCCCTGTTTTATTTTGAAAAGTAATTCTCCCTCTCGTTTCAGGTCACTGTGCTCCCCGCCCCTATGTGTCTCCTGCGTTTGTGATTGTTTACCCCGCCCTGATTGTTTCCACCTGTGCCCCTTACCTTGTGTGTATATATTGTCTCACCAGGTGGAATAGCACCCATTAACTAGAGTGGCCGCGATCTTTGCGAACGCCGCGGCGCAGCCGTAACACGGGCGTAACGCGACGCAGACGGACCCGGTAGAATCTAGGGGTTACTCTCCACCTGTCCTGTGCCAGTTCGTCTCTTCTCATGACTCGATATACCCTCAAGCCTGTTCCATGTTTGTTATTTTTGTTTCAAGCTCCATAAGGAAGTATTTATTTTTTCCTCGATAGTGATTTTTTGTTCTCCGTTTTTGTTACTGTGAAAAACCCAGTAAAGTACTTTTGCAACCATCTGAGTCTGAGTCTGAGTTCACCCCTTGACAGCTGAACTTATCAATGTCCATTCAGGGTTTCCCACACATAGACTTTACTTGGGCGGGCCGCCCAGGTATATTAACGGCCGCCCAAGTATATTTCGCGACCCATTTTTTATTTAATTTTTTTTTAATACATTTTTTAATTCGTCCGCGACCACGACGCCAACTGCGATCGATTAACTTGTGGACAATGATCCCTCGCTCTACGCCTCCTGTACCCAGTCCCAGACTGGCCATCGGGAGGGGGGTTTCCCGATGGCCTGGCCTGCTGGCCTGAGGATTTTTTTATTTATTAGGGCCTGAGCACGAAGTGTGCGAAGACCTATTGTAATGCATAGAATTCTTATTCTCCCGATTCTTGTTCTGGGGACTAAACCTGGTTTTGAGGGCTTTACGACGCCATTCATGTAGCGACATTTGGCAAAGTTCGCAGGACGGGTGAAACATTTTACATTCTTGAGTCGATGGGTTAAAAATTAGCGCCACCTGTGAAAATTCAGTTTTGGAAAAATGTAGCAGCGTAAGTCTGATGGACCTGACATTTTTAATTTTTTGTTTTTCAACACCAAACACAGTGTACAGCATGAGTGGAGGGTCAGACACATTACCGTAGGAAATGAGCACCATGTGTGGAAAAATGTGGCCGACATCAATCGAAACGTATTAGCAAAAAGGTGTGGCTTAGACATAAATGCTTATAATTCATCCACAATTTATCCAAATATCACAGATTTTGGTGGATAGGTTCAGTCTGTCTTGGGGAATAGGCACAACAAAACGAAATATATATATTTTGTAATAGATATACTGGCAGAATGAGTATAAACTGAGATTTAAAGTGTCGCAACCAATGACAAATGTGGGCGTGTCCTACACAGTTTTTTCTCGAAATCGAAGGGTTAAAAACACTTACGGACACATAACTTTGTGTTGAAATTAGTTACGGCCTTTACACTTGGAACACCCGTGACAGCCCATGAGCTTTTCCAAACTGTACAAAAATACGTTTTTGCAAATACGGCTCAATAGCGCCCCCTATTGTGCGATAGTCACATACAGTTTCTCCGAGCTACCCGAATCTTGGCACAGACATTCCTCATGGAATTGCGGACATATTTCAAAATGGCTTCCATTAGCCCCGCCCCCCATAAAGTTGGCCATTTTAAGGACATTTTTGTGAACTCCTCCTAGGGGAATGATCGGAAAAATTACAATCTAGGACAAGTTCAGCCCCTATCCAATATGATGCTAAATTGTGAAGCCAATTTTTGATAGCTCAATCATGGAGGTCGTAAGCTAACAGCGAATACACAATTTTTGACTATTTACATGTCACAAATTAATCCAAACTACTCGCATAGAGTTTTACCGATATTCACGAAACACTGTATATACATTGCTCTTATGAATCTGGACATATTTAAAATTGCCTTCCATTATCCCCGCCCCCCAGAAAGTCGGCCATTTGGAAAAATGTGCGTTTTTCATGCATTTTACGGAAATGTTTGCAAACTCCTCCTAGGGCAATGATCAGAGAAATTCCACTCCAGGACAAATTCAGCCCATATCCAATGCGATGCTACATTGGGAAGGAATAGTCAGTCGCTCGAACGGGGAGCTCACAGGCTAGAATGTACAATTTTCCACCATTTAGATGTCAGATAAGCTACTCTGCCTTCCACATCCTCTCTCTCTCACACACACACACACACACACACACACACACACACACACACACACACACACACACACACACACACACACACACACACACACACACACACACACACACACACACACACACACACACATCAGTGTACCCTCGGTTAAAGCTCCTCCAGAGAGCCTCCTCTCTCCTCTACATCAGTGTACCCTCGGTTATAGCTCCTCCAGAGAGACTCCTCTCTCCTCTCTGTCCTCTAAGTCAGTGTGTCCTTGGTTACATTACATTACATGTCACTTGTTAGACGCTTTTATCCAAAGCGACTTACATACTCAATACTGTGGGCAATCCCCACAGGAGCCATTTGGGTTGAAGTGTCTTGCCCAGGGACACAACGACATATTGACTTTGGTTTGAACCTGTGCTTGAACCCTGATCCGAACACCAACGCACAACCCACTGCATCACATGCCACGGTTACTGCTCCTCCAGACAGCCTCCGCGATAATCGTTCCTCGACGAGCCTTTAGAGAAATTTGTTTTCCTACGAGGCGGCGCGCCCACATCCGTTTCCGGGTCGCTGCCGGAGGACCGAGGAGTCCAGGGGTGTTTCTCAATCGTGAGTACGCTTGCTTGGTAGCACATGTCTGCCGAGCATCTTGCTTCAGAAGCTAGGCAAGAATACTTCCTGGCATTCGGAAAACAAAGAGTGGAACAGGCTAGCAAGTGTGCGTCATATGAGAGGCCCCGCCTTACATTTTCCGCCACAGATTTGGGGAAATTGGTCCGTGCGCAAAGCATTGTGGGGATTTTAAGACCGCGGAGTCTACACATGTGCAGCCTCGAAATTTCTCCTAACGAAGTACGCCGGGCTCGGTAGATTTCCAAGTATGCTGGAGATTGGAACAGTACTTCCAGTACACTCGATGATGTAGTATGCTTGAAATAGTGGCTCTGCAGCAGCTTTACTCACGATTGAGAAACACCCCAGGACTTGAACACTTGAGAAATGACAAACGGCTCATTTCAGAGGACTCGCGCGTGTCTGCTTGACACCGGGACGACCGGCGACCCTCCCCGACAGGCACTCGGACGCGAAGGCCCGCCCACAACTGCATGCACATCTGTGACCGCAGTTTTAATTTTGTATGTATTGTGAACGCAACGCTGCGCAAATCTGGGTCTGCCTCACACAGGGTGACTGGCTGTCTACATTATGTCTGTGACCCCACCTATTGTTCATTGATAAGCCTGAAACATGCACTTGTCAAGGTTCAGAGGCAAATATGGTAGTAGCCATCGATCATCTTAAGATAAGATATACTTTATTGATCCCAAGTTGGAAACATTTGCGTTACATCAGCATGTGTAACAGTTGTAAATATGCAGTGGTGTTTATTTGTAAATCATTTAGTATAATCACACAAATTCTGTGTTTTATATTTAATAATTCTGTATTCTTTATTTATTGAATATTCAATACCTGACAAGGTCGGAGATGAAAAACTTGGGTCGCAGGTTCCTCAACAGTGCATTACAAGACATCTATCAATATGTCTGTATACCTCCACCACTAAACTGTCGTATTCTGCACATTTTTTATACTATCTACATACATCTTATAAGAGTAAAATACGTATAATATCAGTTAAAATAAGTGCTTAAACATACAGTAGTTAACATTGCAGGAAAGCAATATATTAGTACTTTGTCAGGCTTAATATGTATACCCCCAAAGCTTTTTTCTTATTCAAAATAAGACCTTAACCTAAAGTATTCTTTAATGTTTAAATAAAGCCTTATTAGTTTGTCTGTCTGTGTCTCCTATTAATATCTAATAATTAGTGGTGCACGATAATTATCGGCCCGATAATTATCGGTCCGATATTACGAATTATGACGTCATCCCGATAAACCCGATAACAGTATTAATAGCCCCGATAATATACAATATATTTTTTGGGTAAAAAAATAAATAAAAATACTGCGGTGTGGGTGGATTGGGATGAGGGACGCTTGTTTTTCACTCGGCTCCTCCCGTTTTGCCAGTACTGTGTTATTAGTGGTTTAGGAAGAGGGGAGTTTTTCACAAATCCAGCGCTCCCTAACTCATGCCTGGCTGTGACGTAAATGGTGTGCGGCCGTGAAGCCAGGACAGTAAATAAACATGTCGCCGATAGTATGGGACTATTTCAAAGTTTCAGAGTTAGATAGTTCGCTTGCTATTTGTATTAACAAATGCAATGCAGAAGTTCCACGAGGAGGGAAAAAGGCAACGAGCTATAATACTTCCAACCTGATTTGTCACCTGAAACATCGCCATCGCTACGATGGTGTGTTAAAAGCGTACGAAGACGCCTGCGCTGCTAAACTAGCGGCGAATCCAAAGCCAGCTGCAAAGGCACCGGGGCTTTTACCTATCGACGAGGCTTTTGAAAAAGGCAAGAAGTTTGCCAGAGACGACCCCAGGGCTAAAACTATCTCTAACTTCATCATAGAAATGATGGCGCTT